TCACGGGGCACCTTAGAGCATTCGCCCGAGACGAATGCCATCTGCTTCGACGAAAGCCACCACCGGAGGGAGGCATTGCGAGCACAGGCAGCCCTGCTTCCGGGATGAGCACACACATTGCACCGAGCGACAATGTCATGGGATGACGTTTTCCGGTGTCACGCCACTTTTATGTGACGTCACAGCGACAAAGGAGCCAGGGCGCACGCGCAAAGAGCGACAACTATGTGTTAGGAGAACGCCGTTCCGCGATGAACAAAATACCTATTTTATTTATTATTTATTTAACAACACTGTCAATCCCGTCAGGGATTTTTACAGGAGTGGTTTGGAAAGTGTCAACAAACATTTTATATTCACATACTTATACAATTGTATGGGTACAAAAAAAATCATGGTATAAAATGATAACAATTATGGACCTACATTATTAACGAGGCACACGTCTCAGTCACATGTGCACACACTGAAAAAAAAAAAAACACGAAACCTATCGCTCGCAACCTGCGAGAAGTGATTGGCTGTTTAAAGGGCTGCTGACACGAATCTTTAAATATTTTCGAATTGTTGTTCTAAAAAGATCACTGCCGTTGAGAACAATGAAAGGAATATTGAGGTGCCTGGGAATGCATCGAGTATATTTTTGATAACGCTACGTCAGAAAAAAAAAAAAAAAACACTCCCGGTTTCGATGCCGAGGAGGCGGCTTCCCGATGGCGTGTCATCGCAGCGTGACGTCACGCGGAAGCAGCAACTGGCGACATACGAGCGGTAGATCTGCCATTTGTCTGGTCTTTCTGCGCTCTTACCTTTATTCGCGCACAACAGTTTACATTGAAGTATGAACAGACTCGCCCAGCTGCAATTTTTACTGCCATCTGCTCTCGATGCACGCAAACAAACACGAGTGAAGTGTCGTCGAGGGACCCAGACAGCGATTCCTGCTATTCGGGATGCAAGCAGGTTGCAAACTTCGCGTGACTGTGTTGACTGGTGCGGATAACGTCCATTGCGCTGATGGGGCCGCTCCATGGCAGCAGATGCTCAGTTCCGATAACCTTCAAGTCAAACGAAAACATTTTGCACGTGTTTTCTGGATCCGGTGTGCAGAGTGTGTTCAAGTCGTGTTTGATGAGGCACGTAAGGGCTTTTGCCTAATAAGAGAGGGGAGAAAAAAATCCTCAACCATGCCGCTAGGAAAGAAGCATCTGTGGGATTACAGTAACGCTAGGTAGTTTTAGAATAACGCACCGCGAGCCCTTGCGGTGCGGTCACTGCTACTGCGCATGCGTCGTAACGCGAGTCGGCGTTCGCGCCCGCAGAAAATCCGAAATAGCGTGCGGCGATCGCGGTTCGCAAGGCCCGCGAAGTGCTGTGTGTAGCTTCCGTGCATTTGGGTTTGCGGTCGGGGCGAAAGTCCCTAGACATTTCCCTGGGCGGAGCGAACGCTATTCTAAAGCTCACATGGCGCCCGCTAGGCCCGCAACGCTTGCAAACGTTATTTCTAAAACTCCCCACTGACCGTAATTACAGCAAGGGCTGCGCGGCACGTACAGCACAGTCGCTACGAAAGCTAGAAGAGCGGCCTTTCGGAGCCTTTTATAAACACTCTTTGGGTAACTGCTACAAGCACGTTTGCACGGTACCCACTACGTCACAAATAACCATACTTTTTGTGCAGTAGGGAGTCGTTCACCATGCCATCTTTCGGTGAAGGATGGTGTACCCACTACACATTTGAAATTTTGTGCGATATTTTTATGCCGTGACTGACGACGATGAAGAATTATGCCTAGCACTATTGTAACGGGTTGTACCATTCGACGACCGCCTCATTAAGCAATTCGCATTGTGTTACGCCTGAGTGTTCCTTCGCTGTTCTAAAGCGCCCTATCATACGCATGAATGCGACTTCTCTCCAGACATGAAGCCTGCGTGCGGGGTCAGTTTGCCACGGAGTTCCAAATACCGGAATCACTATTGCACATGAAACATTTGTAGAACGTTTGTTTAGTTGAAAATTGTTGAAACATTGCAATAAAAAAACAAAATCGGCGTATCTCAACGGTAGAATCCTGAGCTGGCACGCGGGGGAACCGGGTTCAAATCCCGCTGTGTCCTTGGTGTTTTTTTTTATTTACTTACTTTTTTCCCCTCCCTTTGCGCGATAGTTGTTACGGGCACCACGGCAAAGGGAGTGGAGGGGTGTGCGTGTGTAAACTGAGCGCTACAAGCCGGTTGTTACGCAAATCAGAAAACTGTACTAAGTATGCTTCCAAGTTAAGACATTATAATCAATAATAACTCCAATCCCTTCTCGCTCGCCTAGAAAAATTTCATTATAGTTCAACGCTTCCAAACAGGCGACGACCTTCGTCGCACATACACGCACAAAAAACTCGAAAGCGAAACCACAACCAAACGCGAAAATTACTAGAATCGTTACGTGCAATTACGGTAATTAGGCCTCGCTACGCTGGTGTGCGCTATCACATTCGGGAGCTTGCGGAGCTGTGCACACATTAACAGCGAGCAGCCGCTCCAAAGAAAATATACCTCCCCGAGTGACCGACTGACTCGGTGGGACCTATCAGAAGAGGAGTTTTGATTGATTAAGTGTTTGCTAGAACACACACTACAACGAAAGAGGACTGCGGGATAGACGAATTAAAAACAAAAAGGTAACATGAAAAGCACGGAAAAACTGCCACGAAGACTTATATATATGACCTTTGAGAAAACGCGTAGGACACAGGCCCGGAGTTCGTTATAAACAGATCTTTCCCTATAGGCGGTTTGCGTATACGCTAAGACGCGAAACTTTCAAAGCATCCTAATAGCTCAAAAGATAAAGTATATAAGCTCTCACTACACAGGTAAACATGCGGGCTTCGATCGAAACCCTGCGTACGAGAACACATCGCAGCTATACGAATATGCCGCCGCGGTTGTAAGATTAATTTACCGTGAAGACTACTTCGTGAACGCGGGACCCCAAGTACTGCGGTATACAGCAGCGGTCAGCGCATGCTAGCACGGACAAAAGGGATATTTTAATTACATTCACAACCAAATATTTTAAGCGCGCGAAGTGCTAGCGCCGTGATGGGGAAAACATCTGCTCGAAAAAGCAGACCAATGGCGACACCAAAAGCGCGGTAATCTCAACACTGACGGTGTACACGATATCGTTACTACTAAGCGCACCGAGACGCAATACTTGAATTTTCTTGAAGTCGCTCACTTCCGTATGCCGACAAACGGCAGTAGAATGCTTTTCAGTGGCACGGCCACTGAAAAGCAGTGTCAGTGACATCGCTTTCACATTTCATAACGGAGTCAAATGTTCGTTCTGACGTAGCCGCCAGATAGCTGCATGACATTCGAAGGGGGCCCATTACAATTTCAATAAAGACAGAAAAGAAACACCGCCTCGAAACAGGCACAACTATATAACGTTATTTCACCTAACCACATTCTAAAAAAAAAACTGACACGTACGAGAGAAGACAAACGCAAGAAACAAAATCTGAGAATTTGCTGCAAGCGCACTGCCCGTGGCTACAATTACCAAAGGCGCGTCTCTGGTTTCACTTTCGTAACGCCTGTGAAAATTACTCAGCTTCATAATTTCGCGCAGAGACGCATCAACGGACCGCGAATAATGCAGGCAGGGTCATAAGGGAAAAAAAAAATGATGAAAAGGTGAACACGAAAGTGAAAAGAGCAAAAGAAGGGAAAGCGGACAAAGAAGGAGCCAAGGAAAGGCGACGAGAGAATGCCCCTGACCGTATTGTGAAGCGAAGCGCGGTTGCCTGCCCCTTTGGTATGGCCATCGCGAACTTCCCCGGCGGGCATATAAGAGGGTGCTCTTTCACGAGCACACATCAGTGGCGCGCACTGAAGAGCGAGACCTTGACAGTGGCAGGCGAGAGCCACCGGTTACGCAAAAAGCACCTGCGCCGACACACGAGTGCGACAATGTCCGGCGGCGACGAATGTCAGCCCTGTTCTCACAGAGAACACCTACCACTTCTTACGGCTGCGATTCGGTCACGAGCCATCTGAGCGGGACAGTGTTTACGTCCTTAGAAAAGCTAGAGCAACCTTTCTAAGAAGTAAACACCCAGAAAATATTCCTCGCCGTTCTAAGGATGTAACCACTAAGAAACACTTCAGAAACCAAGACGCCGGTCTTTAAAACTGAAAATGCGGCAACACTCAGCAAAGCTACACGAAAACTAAACCTTCAAACGACATATATTAAACATTGAGAGGAAACCAGCACAAAGTTACAGCGTACATCGATTTCAAACGCCCCTAAATATCACTACACGTTTTAATTCTTTGGATTAGCTCATACACGGCAAGCAAAGACAGCGATACCGAATCCACGCCGCTTCATGCGCAACGCGGATGCAACGTTCATTTTTTTTTTTTTTTTTCAGTTTAGAAAGGTAAGCACATGATAAGCGAGCAGGCAGACTTCATTGAGAGGTAACCGAAAACTGAGTGTAGTTGCTTCAACAAAGAACAACTGACGCTACGCGATCGTATAAAGGAATACCGCGAGTGAATGAATGCGGGTGGCCAATCAAGACCCAGCCAACACCTCCCATTTAGTTTTTTTTTTTTTTCCAGTGGCATTCTCTAAATGTTGATTCATTCTCGTGCGTTAACTACCAGTCTTCGGCGCTTGGAGTCAGCCTGAACGTCTTCGCCTGAAATGCAATAAGCGGAAATCCATTCGCTGCAACGCAACGAACCCGAGCTCCGAAAACAAACACCGAACGGCGAGCACCACCAACATCCGCAAGCAACTGCAAGCGGCGGCACATCTCTAAGCAATAAAACATCCGATAATCACGTTATCTCGCACAAAAAAACAGCTGGCTTGACATGCAGTGACGCGTTGTTAACTTTTCATCGAAGTCCATAACCGCCAAGCAGCGAACGACGCATATAACCGACCGATTGGAAGGGAATAAATGGCAACTTACCCAACATTAGTCCGCCATAGCAGCCATAGTGCAGATGATGTCAATGCGTCCTGTGCTTCACAAAAAGTCGAGTTTCGCGGCGTAGATGGTGATGATGATAGTCTTTACACGCATTAAAAGCAAAAGTACTACACAAAAGCTTAGAGACATTAGTCATTCGCCTAAATTATACCTTCAAAAAAATGACACGCAACCGCACTTATTTTGCTCTCTTGGCACTGTTAGTGCACAAGCCACATAAAATCGTAGTCAAAGCCAAGACTATGAGAAACGAAAGCAAAACCTTAACTCCGCCTTTGCAGAATTGAGGGGACGTCAGTAAATGTGCTTCCACTAGCCTGGCATTAATTTCCGGTAAAGCTACACTTCTGTTGCCGTCCGATGTGCCACAATTTTCGGTATTTTGTAGCACCAGCGAACTAGTGCAGCCGCCACCTGTTAACTAAGCTCGACACAGGCGATTAGACATAGAACATCACACCCACGCACACGAAGAACATTTACACTGTTTCATACTTATGATCCTACAATAAATATTTGTCGTTATTAGCTACCTGCTTAATGTTGAAGTATGCTTAGTTCTACTTCCTACATTTCTTCATTTACTTTACATAACTTTTCTTCAAACCTCAGCAAACCTGGAAATAGCAATTCACTCCTGTATTTTGAATCCCTTCCCTTTATTGCTTTGAAAAAAATATATATAACTAAATCGCTATTCACCTACATCCATACTAAAGTGCATAAGGTACAATTGATGTGCAAGTTGGGTATCAGCAGATGAATGTGTCCCATGTATGCAGGCTTCTGAACACACACATTTGGTACTTCCCGACTGACATAGCTTTTCTTATAACTTGTTACTTCATAATGTGGCTCCACACCCGTAGCTTTAAAGAAATAAAGGCAGAATGAAGTATTTATTTTATTTTCACGCATATGAAGGTACAATAGTTTACACTGCAACACTTACACCCGTACAAAGACTGCACTTAACACCAGCGAGATCACTCTCCTCAGAGACTCCATGGGTCACAGTTATAGACCTCTATTTCAAGTTGCTTCTGTCCTATAATGTTATTGCATGATTTAACTAAATCAGTGGCCAATTTGCCTTTCAATAATTTAAATACACTAGCAATGCAAAAGTTGTTCGACCATAGGTAGTTAGCATGGCATACTTAAGGGTAAATGATCAGTACTGAACAACAGGCAGCACGTCATTTACCCTTCAAACTAGCAATGTTGCTTTCATTAGTGTTCTAAGCACTGCCCAAATGAGAATTCCACTCTTCAACCTGAAACCCACGAAGCAATGTTTTTGACAGACACATGATTGGAATAATGCATCCCCTGAAGCGGTTCCTTTACACTCACTCATGTGGCTGGCATGGGTTCGTAAAGTTGACACACGATTATGTACACTATGCAGCTGTATATAAAATGTTTATTATGAAAAGATAATTATATATACATATGTACAAATAAAAATGCACTGCACCAACATGAAAAAAATCTGTAAACAGAAAATGTGTGCTCAAAAATATGTTTTGACAGGTACACTTGTGCTCTTCAAGGTGGAAACTTCAGGGCTTCTTCGAGGTTACTAGACAAGTGAACTTGTCGAAATGTCTGCTAGAGCATGCTAGCTTCCATGTTCATAGCCAGCTTCCATGTTCCCCTTTGTACCATTTTTTTTAAGTACACCAACATGTCATTAATGTCACATATTTATAAGGCTTACTAAAGACACCCCTTCTGTTTTTAATTTTCCAGAACACTTTCCTTGTAGATAGACCCCTCTCCACCAACATGTCCTTACTGTCACATACACATATGCATGCTTAATTAAAGACCCACCTTTTGCTGTTAATTTTACAGGACACTTTCTTTGTAGCGAGATTCATCTCCACTTTGAAGTTTCAAAAACTGGTCTTCCCGCAGAAAACTCAGCAACTTCTCAAATGGCTTGTATTTTCTTAGAGTTGAACTGCTTCCGACGATAATCAGCTTATGCCTTGCCCGACTGACAGCCACTGTAAGGCGCCTCTGGTCATTCAAGATTTCAGTCTCCTACGGCAGGACATAAAGAAAGGGTCATGAAAACGTCAATGCAAGCAAAACACTTCTACAGGTAGAAATTTCATCGTTTCTCTGTCATGCATATATTATGATGGCCAGACAGGGAGCTGTCACCATCAGCGGGGCTGCATCAAGCAAGTCCATGCACCACTTTTTTATGACGCCGACAAGTTGCGCATTGTTGTCTCCGAGAGCCTTTGTGCTCAAACTGCATGAACACTGCTAGGGCAGATGCATGAGGTGGCTAGCAGGTTCGACCAGTCACAGCGACACGACGCATCTGCGCATCAAGGTCGCGCAGGTAGCATGGGTACACCTTCAACGCACATCTGCAGAAACATGTGCCTCAGCTGTCTATGCAGATGTGCATCTCTTCGCCATTCAGTTTTGGCCACGTCTTGCTCTGAATAGCGCTGACCGGGCGGCGCTGCTGCCGGCTCCGAGAGCCCCTTACGCAGCTGAATCGTAAAAAGATGCTGCCTCTCTGGCGCGTCGTTTTTGACAACTCCCTCTCTCGACACCATATCCATATTCTTCCAAGCGTAATAAAATGCAACAGACCAAACGTCTGCTGAAAATCTTCAAACCAAATGGAGCCCAATTAGAAATGTTTCTTTGCTTTCAAGCTTGACATATTGCAAGTAACAACAGATCAACAACATACACCCATGAAAAGGGTGACCTGCTGCAGTTGCCATATCTGCCCATGGATATCATTCATGAAAAATGACAATAAAGAAACTTCAACAAAAGCTAGCCGACTGATGAAAGGTTTATAATGCATCATACTAAATACTCACAATCCACAGGTGGTGAGAGCCATGTACACCCTCGCTTTTTTTTTTTTTTTTCATTAATGACGCAGGAACGTCGCCTGCAGGATATTGTATTTACTAATATCGGTGAGAAGCGACTAGAACAACAGTACAACAATCAATCTCACGCTGGCTTTCCGAGTACATGATTCCAAATATAAGACTGGTAATGCATATTCGTTTCCAAGCCAGCATCATAGCAGATGGCAATCGTGCACCTGTGTGATCTCCATGCTTGTGCATCATGCAGGAAATCTTGTTGCTTTTCGTCTTCATTAGGCGCTACCATGTCCAGGAGTCAACGATCGCACGACATTATTTAAAAAATGCAAGGATGTATGCACACAGTTCTGCCTGCACAAACGGTGCTTTGCACATGCTTATATAATATCAATGATACGATAAGGGTCCTTTTGTTGCCCTCATTGATCATGAGTGCATGTACATACCTTACTATCGCCCTCATACTTTCTCACGCAGGACAGCAGGATGGCGGTTTTCTCTTTGCCTTGAAACTGGTCCACCGTACTGATGTCCACTTGTGCTACGCTAGAGATTGCTTGCTTCAGGAGCTGCACTTGGTTTCGGAACGGGGCAATCACACCAACCTCTTCGGGAGGCAGTCCACCCTGCCGCAAATCAAAGACAGCAAAAGATGAAGAAATTCGCCTTTGTAAGGTTAACCTAATACAATAAAAAATATAAAGGTTGCACTAAAGAACAAAAAGCGAGAGTGTAATGTCTCTTGTATTTTCAGTTCGTAACACTAAAAAAATAGGACAATACTAAAGGGTTGCTCAATATTGAGCAGCCCGGACTAACACTAAGCATACCTTCAGGAAAAAAGCATACCTTCAGCAAAGCACGAACTAGCTGCACAACGATGGTGACTTCGATCCCACTAACGGTGCCCTTGCTTCCACTGCAGTCTCCCTCAGTGGCTTGGTGGCAGATCATCGGTGCATAAGAACACAACTGCATGCGCTAGTTCTTTGGAAATGGCCTTCAAGATCCAGCAGTTTGGAGGCAGAACACGACTTAATGTGGACGAAAGATTAGGCAGTGATAGGCTTGCGTTGGCTACATCATCGGAGCCGCACTCCAGTTGGCCAGCATAGGTCAGCTTGTTACACACAGCAGTGATCTCTCTGAAATACAGATGAGCAGTTACCTATGTGTATACACAGCAGACTCGATAATTCAAAGTGTCGGTTAATTCCAAGAAATCTTAAAGGGGTACACAAAAACTTTGGCCTCGCATTTTCTTGTAACAATGCAATGTGGGGGCCTGTTAGTCATAACACGGCACATAACCTGCTACAGCATGTAACAGGTAATCAATTACAGGCTTTTCCTCATTATTGACCAGTTTCAGATTCGGTTTGAGAGAGCTCGAAAAACGACAAACCGCCAGGTGTAACTATCACCACCTAGCGAGTGCGGGTCTCGACCACGTCAGCACACAGAACTGTGATGAACTTCTGCACGGAACACAAAAGGAAGCCTTTTTGAACAGGAAACAGGAAGCAGTGTCACCAAACACAAAACTTTCAACACGTGCATCGTGGCCACTAACTCGCGAACAGGTGCTCAGAGGTATAGACTGCTAGAAGAAATGCGGCAAAAAAAAATGGCGGCTACGATTTCACGATAACTTGCTTTATTGGCTGCAGTGCAGTGACGCTAGGAAAGTAAGGGGGTCTCCAATGGATCTCTTTAGATGCTGTTAATATGTTGCCTTCAAAATTCAAGCTTCAAAATTGCTGTAGAGTACCTTCCCAGCTATATTCCCGTTTGATATTTTAGAGATGATCTACACATGTTCAAGAGAATCGATCCCACAGACTATCTCAGTCGCGAAATTTGTGTCAGTAAGCCTTTAAGCTTTGGTCGGCCTGCTATATTTTCAATGTAAGTTTAAGTTGATGCAAATTAAAGAGACGAGAGTAAAAAAACACGAGATTTTTCCGAAACTACACTTTTTTTTGTTTAATTTCACAAGTTTAGTTTCTCTACTCTCATGACAAAGAAATTGAAGATTGTAATTAAGCTCGGAGCAGGTTAAAATCACCTTTAGGAGCACAAAGTAGCCACAAAAACCCAATAGAATTCGTTGTCCAGTGTCCCCTAAAAATCGTCACCTGGCTGCTTAGCCATTGCATTTCACATGAGCATTTCACCGAAGCCACATGCTGAAAATAACCATCATTCTCAAGCTGTCATGACAGAAGAAATTTTAACAAACATCTTTGCCTCATAGATGAGCTTTCACTTATACATTTAAAATGCATTTTTCTCGTACAATTTTGGACAAATTCCTGAGTTTTGACATCATGTTTTCCGAACTTATAATAGCCAGATCGAGATAAAATTTTGCCCAGATACTATTCCTTAATATCCGAAGAGTACACGTATCTCTTTTAAAACTTAATTTTGCCTATGTAGTTGTTACAAACCTAAAGTAAGCAATTACTTTGATCTGAACATATTAAGAGTTATCAGAGTACAATTATTTTCTTGTCTGATATAATATTTGTACGCACTTTCTTGTCAGTGATCTGCATTCTACAGTTAATGTGGAGCAATATGAGCCATTAATGGTTTAGAACCATAAAAGTCTAGTGGCAAAAAAAATGTCCAAAAAAGAGCTACAATTTACAGCATTGTCATGGTACAAAATGAAAACTATGCAACTTACTGTAAAACTGATGACACATTTGAGATGAGAATAAAAGCCTATCTATACAGTGAAAATATCAATTTCCTAGGCTACAATTTGAAAAAACTTTGTTTACGAGTAGCATCTCCCCTCAATTCAAATTGCCCTGATGCACACCTTCGGCTAATTCAGGCTTTTTGCCTAGAAATATCTGCTGCCTTTGTTGCATCTAACCAAACATTCACATTTTTTTGCCTATAACGGTCGCAAATAAAGCCGATTGCCTGCCTACAAAATGGCCAAACTAGCCGCACCAAGTGCACTAACAATCGCACTGCTGACCGAGGAAAAAGAAAAACAGTCACAGCATATCCTTGGAGTGAATGATGATGAGTGGGGCGAAGCGTCCATGCGTCCGTCCGCACGTCCATTCATGCGTCTATCCATCCGTCTGTATGTACGTCCATTTATTTGTCTATCCATCCAGTCATCCAGTAAACACTCCGAATAGTACCACCACCTCGCATCTTTTCACCATATATTCATCATATACAAGTACCGCCATTCAGCAGACATTCCAAGGACTAAACAAGAGGTGGCTACTACTACAAACACGGGACGTACGACCCGACGGCGTAAGGAGCTTCGCCCCCTAAAAAAAGAACCATGGCAGCCTGAACTATTATGTACTGACTGCTTTCAAAAGTGACTTTTGGCGCAGTACACTGGTGTCATGCGGGACAGCATCCTCAGACAAAGCGGGGGATATTAGCTGTCACTGGACACATTTTGTCCTTTAATTACACATGCATGCACATGTTGTATACTAACGAGAACCAATATGATTGCCGGTGTCTAAAGCTGGCAATCATTCACAACTGTGTATTATGCAGCTGAGGCACTCAGAAACAATGAACATCACAACATTGGTTGGTAAGTTGCCCTGGGTCATATTTATGACAACTTCTGATAATTCAAAGATTCAAACAAAATCCTGGGGTCCGCTCGAGTTTTAATTTTTGAGAGCCTACTGCATAACATCATGACAATATGAGAGATGAGTGCACAAATATGTATTTGGATTAGCTTTATTTTTCTTTCTACAAATGTGTCAGCTTGACTTACAAAAGTCCAACATTCATTAACACACATTTAGTTATTGGCTACAGTGCACTCAGCACAACACATGGCATGCCAGAAAATGTCAGCCTGAATAGCTCATGTGGGTCACTCAGGTCACATGACGGTTAAATTATGTAAATTCAGGTCATTCGTAAGCATATGAGATGTTGGCATTGGCCCTTCCTGCTTAAATATTGCTTTGATTTTGATGTACTGAGTGGGTTGAGTGTGATAGAAACATGTTCCTCATAGTAAATTACTGAGGAAAGAGCTCTTTTGAACACCTTGTACTGTTTTAATCTGAACATACTCAACTAACATTATTTTCTTCAATTTTACCTGGGTAAGAAGAAGCCGATGCTAATACTCTAAACAGAAAAGCTATTCAGTGCAAAAAAAAAAAGGAGCTGTCGAGCCAGCTTGGTTAGTCGAGAACAAGAACAATATAGCGCAGAGCTGACTAAACAGCATATTCATCTAATTTTTGTTTAATTTTTCTGGTACAACAAAACACGCCTGAACACTCTGGGTTGGTGGAACAAAATTTACCTGTTCATCCTGTACTGAACAGGTAGCACAACCGTGTTTTCTGGTTTTTCCAATCTTGCAAACAAGCTGATGTCCATGCCTTTCTTTCTGAAGAGATCACAATGAAAGGATGAGTGCATGCTGACTAGGGAACGTACGTCTGTTTAATGTGTAAGCTTAGCATGATACGCTAAGCCTAGGCTTGTGCAAATATTAGAATACTTATAATATTCAAATGAATAATACAGTATTCAAATTCGCTTTGATTCAAATTTAAATTATTGAAAATTTTGAGGTACTTGAATTCAATGAATAGGTGAATACAAGTCCACATGTAACCCTCTGTAAAGGTAACTTCACTGCAATAAAGGGGCCTTATGCCGTGTAAACCAACGTTGGTGTAAACACCTATCAAGGAGAAATCAGTACTTCTGCGAAGCTCCACTTTAAAATTAAATGTACAAATTAACCTCACATTGATTCATCGTTTTTTTTTATTTAAAAGCTTCTTATACCAGGTTATGTGCTCAGAGTATAGTAAATTTTAAAGCATAACATATTTTACAGGTTATTACATCCATTCAACCAAAAGTCAAATCCTGCTATTGTTCAAAGTTGCTTCCACTTTCAACCTGAAAAAATGACTTTTACACATGCATTGCTTCAATTTTTAAAAATAATGTACAGTTTATTCAGGTCATGACAAATATGCTCATTTCTTTATAATATGTAATATATACTGTTTGGATTTCATTCAACATTATTTGACTCAAATCACTATTCGCTTTGATGTAAAATTCACTGTTTGCACAAAGCTAGCTAAGCATCTTGCCTTGCTTAGCTGATCGCTAAACAAGGCAAGAAAAACAGACTCTTGGCCTACTTTTTCAAGCTGATATGCATTGTGCACTGTTCGTGCTGCCATATATTAATCATCATCATCATCATGACCCAAGAACTGATTATTATTATTATTATTATTATTATTATTATTATTATTATTATTATTATTATTATTATTATTATTATTATTATTATTATTAAATACACAAGGACACAGAGGAAATAGAGAGTAGGCTGATGACTCAGCTAGAGGGGTAAAATGCCTGCCTACTCTTTCCAAAGGAAGAAGAGAGAAAGGAGAGGAAGATAGAAAAATCAAGAAAAATATTGATAAAGGCTTGAAGGAAAATATAAAAACACGAATACCACCCCCTCAAAAAAAAAAAAAAAAGGCTATGTACAGGAGGCCAGATCCACCTTCAGCAGAGCTCAATGTGCTTGGTCGCATTGAGCAGCACAGCCTCTTCGAAATTAAGAGGTCATCGTCAATGGTCATATCTTTACATCCAATCAGTCTAGATTCCTTAATCAGCAATGCCTGCTGAGTAACATATGCAGGACATTCTAATATATTGTACTGAAGTGTTTTGCATGCCCAATGCTCAACAAACAAAACAAAACATTCTGGATTAAATTTCGTGACCAGCAATCACATTCCCATTACTACAACAACACAGAGGGAAAATAAATTTTAATGAATTCTTTGAGACTGTTTGAAAGAGACTGACATACCTTGCATCCTCACTTTGCACCACCGGTGGTAATTGCTGAGTGTCGCCAACAAGCACGAAGGCACGGGCCAGGAAAAGGGGTCCCAGGCAGGCAGGTTGCAATGCCTGAGAAGCCTCGTCCACAATGCACGCATCGAAGTGCAGCCTCTTGAGTAGTCCTTGATTCGAGCCCAGGCATGTGCAGGCAACTACAAGCTACATGAAAAGAGAAAGAACACGTATTAGGGACACATCTTGATGGGAAAGAATAAGTGAGCCATAAATGACTTTTGTACAAGGCAACTTATTACTGTGATACTCAAATAAATTGTTCTGAAAGTGGAGCACCTGACTTCGTAGCCATGGTAACTTATAATTATGAATTTGTCAAGGGTTGAGTTGAGATGTATAAACAGCGTCAGGAGCAGAGGTATGACGAGATGGCAGTTCTTTCAACACAGTGTACAGGGCCAGCATGACCAAGGTACACATGGTGTAGCACACTCAGATTAGCAACGCTCAGCTAAAGGTGCACACAAAGGTGACACCAAGACAGATACTGAGTACAGATAATGGGAGAGGAAGAGTTTGCACTAAGACACTTGAGAGCGTGAAAAGCACTGCGCTGTTACACATGAAATGACTGCTCCACGGCCAGGAATTGTGGTCTTGAAACTTGTGACCACCCCTGTACTTGTGTGCAAAGTTTAACAAGTTGGAAGCTCCAGTAAGGTGGTGGTCCGTATTCATATTGAAAAGGGCACAAAATAGGAGGACGCAGAAGAGACATAAGTAAATAAACACTGTGTGTGTGGTTCTTGTGTCCCTGAATTGCATGCCCGCATTTTGAGCTGTTCTCGGTATATGTTAAGATGGTCAGCCACCTCTATGCAAACATAATGCGTATTGTCACGTGCGTCTCGCGAAAAAGACGAAGGCGACAGCGCATACGCGCATCTGCACGCTTTTATGCAGAATGCAACAACGAGAAAGACGAGGAACTCTCTCTCGCGCGCGGTTAATAAAAAGACCGACCTGCTGCTGTTTTCTCAGCGTCTTCAAATATGACCTCTGTCTTCACGTCGCAACACTGGTGGAGGTGCTGGGGCCTGCAACCTGATGCAAGAAAGCGTTGTTTGGGACCGTACACCCAGTCCGGAGCCTCAACATCTTGTTACGACTCCAGCACACAGATTCAGCCGGCGCCTACTAGGCCTAAGTCCAGAACTCTTGACAGCATCTCCTGTTACCAACATGGCGGCCCCTTCAACGTCTGCGAATCTTCCTCCGGCCCAGACGACTCATCCTTACCAGGTAACTTTTGAGACTCCTCGTGTTCCCGAAGTCTTCCGTGGAGAACCGTATGAAGATGTCGAGGACTGGCTCGACCAGTTCGAGCAGACCGCTGTGGTGAATCGTTGGAGCGTGCAAGAAAAACTTGGCCGTGCCTACTTCGCAATAGAATATAGCGCTCGCACATTGTACGAGAACAGGGAGCCTACTTTCCAAACCTGGGACAATTTCCACCAAAAGCTTCTCGAGACGTTCCTGAGTGCGGAGCGATGCGATCTCGCACAACAGATGAAGCCCGCGTGCAAAAGCTGAACGAAAGCGTCGCCATGTTCGCTGAGGATATGGCCCGTCTATTTCGCCGCGCTGACCCTGACATGCCCGAGGCAAGGAAAGTTCGTCACCTGATGCGGGGAGTTAAGGAACTGCTTTTCGCCGGCCTTGTACGAAATCCGCCAACAACAGAGGATGAATTCATCAAAGAGGCGACTGTCAATGAGCGGGCGCTCCGGCAACGATGCCGCCACTTTGACCGCCTGCCCGACCAAACGCCCGTTGGTGCTGCCGCTCAAAACGCTGCTGTTTCCGAAAACTCTTTACGGCAAATGATTAGGCAAATCCTGCGGGAAGAGCTGCGGGCCCTCGGCCTTTCGTCTACCGAGCCCCCACTTGCTTCTGTTGCAGAAAGCGTGCGCCAGGAGCTACGACAAGCCTTTCCATCACCGGTGCCACCACCCGAACCACGTCCACTGACCTATGCTGATGTTGTCCGCCGTCATCTGCCTGCCCCAGAAGAAGCACCCTTTCAGCCACGGCCCGTTACCTTGCCGTGGTGGCAGCGGGAACCTGTGCGGCGACCACCAGTACGTCGGACCGACTTGTGGCGTACTGCCGACCGTCGAACCCTTTGTTTCCACTGCGGCGAACCAGGCCACATCTCGCGCTACTGCCGTCATCAAGAAGCCCGGTTTGGAAACTTTTCTCGGCCCGCTTCATTTTATTTTGAAGACCCTCGTGACCATGGTGCTGATCACCTGCCGACCAACCAAGCGTCTTAACCAAGTCGTCGCTGGCGGTCTCCCTCACCTGCACGAGGTCAGAATTCCCCGAATCGCCAAAGATACGCTGACGCCATCAGAAACCGCTCCCCAAGCCCATGCCAGGGAAACTAACTGCCGCGACCTCCAAGGGCAAGGTTGCCAATCGCCGAGACGCCAAAAAGACCCCCTTGCCTCTACACAAAGACGACGTGACGACGGTGATGACGAAGACGACGACAACCACAAGTACTAATGCCAATGAATTTGTACGTGCCGACCTCAGTGTTATTATAGAGGGACACAACGTAACAGCACTGGTTGACACTGGTGCTGACTTCTCTATTATGAGATAAGAGCTTGCCGACCACCTTAAGAAGGTCAAGACGCCGTGGAGTGGGCCGAGCATAAGAAGTGCTGGTGGACAGCTAATGACACCAACCGGTAAATGCACCGCTCGGCTCGTAATCGGTGATTCAAACTTCGTCGCCACTTTTGTCATTTTACCGGACTGTTGTGAAGAGTTGATTTTGAGTATGAATTTCCTGCGAGAGTACGGTGCTGTCATCAACATTCCAGAACGTATCGTCACCTTTTCCGCCCATCCTTACGTCGACGCCACCTCTGAAGAACAACTGCAACGTTTACGTGTAGCCGATTATGTGATGCTTCTGCCGAGATCTTGCTGCCTTGTGTCGGTGTTATGTGAACGGCCGTGCCGTAATGAGGTGATAGCGGAGCGAATAGACACGCTATTGCTTACGCAAGGTGTTTCAATAGCGAGAGGCATTCTGGCACTAATTGATGGGCGGGCAGAAGTGCTCATCACCAACTTCAGCAACGAGCTTCGTCACATCCAGAAGGGCACCGCGATTGCCTACTACGACGGCGTGGACCAAGCCAGAGATTGCTTCGCTTTGCAACCGGACGACGCGACCGTCCCAGCCTCGACACCTTTGTCTGTCAACATTTGCTCAACCCTATCAGCCTCGGATAAACAGCGCCTACTAGAGCTGATACACCAGTTCAAAAATTGTTTTTCGTGCACATCGAAAGTGAAGCAAACACCACTGATCCGGAACCAAATCATCGTTGAAGAAAATACGAGACCGATCCGTCAAAACCCATACCGTGTGGCTCCGAAAGAACGTAAGGAGATCCAAAAGCAAGTTAGAAGATGCTCCAAGATGATGTAATACAGCCTTCCAAGAGTCCCTGGGCATCCCCCGTGGTATTGGTTAAAAAGAAAGACGGCAGCTTGCGTTTCTGTATAGATTACCGCAAGTTAAACCAAGTAACGAAGCAAGACGTCTACCCACTGCCACGCATAGATGGCTCTCTTGATCGGCTGCGGCATGCACGCTATTTCTCATCGATGGACCTGCCAAGTGGCTATTGGTGAATAGAGGTCGACGAGAGAGACCGTGAGAAAACTGCTTTCGTGACGCCCGACGGTCTTTATGAATTTAAAGTGCTTCCGTTAGGGTTATGTTCAGCGCCAGCCACTTTTCAGCGTTTAATGGACACTGTGCTATCAGGACTGAAGTGGCAGACATGCTTGGTCTATCTAGACAGCGTTGTCGTCTTCTCAGCTACATTCGAGGAACACCTAAGTCAATTATTCGCAGTTCTACAAGCTATACGTTCAGCTGGCCTGACTTTAAAACCAGAGAAGTGCCATTTCGGTTTCAGCGAACTTTGCTTCTTAGGCCACGTGGTCAGCCACGAAGGTGTTCGACCTGACCCGGGCAAAATCGACGCTGTCGCAAAGTTTCCCGCACCGCATGACAAAAGAGCAGTGAGACACTTCTTAGGCCTCTGCACTTATTACCGACGATTCATCGCCAACTTTTCGTCTATTGCGGCGCCTTTGACGCGGCTCACAGGAGAGGATGTCCCCTTTCTTTGGAGCGAAAAGGAACAAACAGCGTTCAACGAATTACGCCAACGCCTCCAAGCACCTCCGGTTCTTGCGCACTTTAACCAGGAAGCGCCAACAGCACTTCACACCGACGTAAGCAATGTAGGCCTGGGCGCCTTACTGATACAATGGCAAGATAACTACAGGGGAAGCCTATGGACTACATGATGGCTTACTTATGTCTCTGGCGAGCATTTCGTCGACTTCTGCTTGAATTATGTGACGCTCGGTTGGAGATACGCGATATGGCCGTCGATGGACAGGGGAGGCATCGCTGGTATCAATGCGGTGCTTTACAGCAGTGGTTTGACCTAGCAGATGATCACAAAAGTCAAACACGTCCAAGTATGACTCAAGGACGTGAAAAAGTGCATCAGCTTGATGCGGCAAAAGGTCTGACGCAATCATTTTTTTAACGTCAGCAGACGGGCTTGCTTGCGAAGATCGAGCACACGTGTAGCTACAGTGTCCAGCATCGTTCGTACACAGAGCTGGGATGACGCATTCGTCAGAGGAAGTCAGCATGGCGAGGGCAATTCCATGCGGGAGCACTTGTAAACACGGAGCAAAGTTGAGCACAGGAATGAAGGCGCGGTTTGCACGTAGCTGAATAACAGTGTGTGGTAAGGTAACACTGTGAGCCGAAAGAATGGATGTAATGGGCGCGAGCACATAGTCGCCATCGGATGCAGGTGGTGAGGGCATTACGGTGATGTAGGTCACAGTTTGCGGTGACAAACGAACATGCTCAGCAGAGCACATACGATCTTGGGGTGGACTGGGCGGATCAATCGGATACGGTAGGTCAAGTTGCACAGTACCAGCTGAACAGTCGATGAGGGGGGAATGAGTGGACAAAAAGTCAAGACCGAGAATCACATCATTGGTGCAGTGAGAGAGAACAGTGAAGAGAAGTGAAGTTTGACGGCCAGCGATAGTAACGTGTGCAGTACAGACTCCAATAACAGAAGCCGTACTACCATCAGCAACACGAACACTACGTGAAGGGACTGGAGTAAGGAGTTTCTTTAAGTGGTCACGATTGTGCAGGCTCATCACAGAAAAATGGGTGCCAGTGTCTACCAAGGCTTTAACAGATAAACCGTCCACTTCAACGTCGATCAGGTTCTGATTGGTCGGGAGCGTCAACAGTGGAATGGGAGAGTAAGTCGTATCAGCAGCGTCACTTTCAGGAGCTGCAGTTGTTAGTTTCTCGAAGAAAGCCGCCGGGCAGAGGATGGGGACAGGGAACACGGTGGCGGCGGAGATTGGGAAAATCTACGTCGAGGGGAAGGTGAGTGACTGTACTGGGCAGTGGTCGTAGTGGTCGGGTCGTAATTAGCTGAGCCATCACGCCGTGGTAGTTCCTGGCCATAGAGATGGGCTGGTGAGTGGAGGTTGGGGAAGCTTGAGTAGTAGTAGTAAACAACTTCATTAAGGCAGCTGACGGTTTCCTAAGTGGCAAGGGCTGTCAGGCCATGCCTGGGGGTGTCCCGGCTTGTAGTCGTGAAGATTCTCTCCCAGGCCTCACTTGAAGGTGACTGTCCTAGGAGGTCTGGTGGAGGAGGGTCCTTGCTGCATCCCCAGATGATATGGTCCAAGGTTGCGGCCTGTGTCTTGCAAAGGGCGCACGTAGATGTGAATAAGGCTGGGTATATTTAGTTTGCCCAATAAGGTGAGGTCCACGTGCTTCGGCAATGACGGGAAATGTGTCCCACTCGTTCACATCGAAAGCAAATCGGCCTGTCGTCAGGCATTCTCCACGCATTCGGGTCACGGTTACGTGGAGCAGGGTGGCGATAATGCTGTTGGTGGCTGGAGGTAGATGAACTGACAGCGTCGGGATGGTGCACAGAGCAGACCGTGTGAATACCCACGTTGGCTAGTTCTTGGTGAACAACGGTCTGTATTAGCGATATGGTCGGCTGAGGATCACTCGGTGCTAGTGCACTAAAGGGTGCGAGTGATATGGCCTCGATTTCGCAGCATACGATTCTCGTGATGTCACCGGAGTGTGAATTGGGCTGGGTCGCTATACGGAGAGCCTCGTAAGTTGACGTTGCAGCAGTGTTGGAAAGGCGCGTAAGTGGTGGGCAATGCGACGGCTTTTAGCCTCTTGAAGGCCTTGGCACTCCGAGATGACATCTTGCATGGTGGAACAGCCTTAAATAGGAGGTTAAATACATCGTCTGCGATGCCCTTGAGCTCGTGCGTAACCTTGTTGGCTTCAGCCATGATTCGGTCAACTTTACGACAAAGGGTCAGCGCATCTTGTATATACGCCAGGTAAGACTTCGCGGACGTCTGAACACGTGTGCCAAGTTCTTTCCTAGCGGCTTGCTTGCAGCCAGCGAATTGACCAAACAACTCGCGTAACTTGGTTTTGCATACGTGTCAGCTCGTGATTACGTCTACATTATTATTAAACCATGCCTTGGCCGTTCCTTGCAAATAAAAGATGATGTTTGCCAGCATCAATGTTGGGTCCCACCTGTGATTTTCGCTGATGAGCTCATAGAGTTTTAGCCACTCATCCACGTCCTCGACCTCCGTTCCCGAAAAGTTGCCAGGATCGCGGGGCGGAGCGGTGACGAGAAAAACGGGGGAGGTCGGCGCCGTTGATGCAGTGGGCGCGGCAGTTCATGAAGCGTCGCTGCCGGTGGACATGTTGGAAGCAGCGACTAGGCGTTGTGCGTTGTAACTCAGCACGTTCCACCAAAATGTTACGTGAAAGTACACGGGAAACTAGGCGTTTGAAGACATATTTTACACAGCACCACCGCGCAAGCCAGGGTGGAGAACCAGAGCTGTGCCCTACACTAAAATCGCATCGTCTTTCTCGGCGCCTATCTAACCGCTTTAGTGGTACATTGTCTCGTAACAATATTGCATATTTAAACTACACAGTCACTGAAGTGTCGCAATGATCAAATCGGGGGGCAAGCCTACCTGGAAAGTTGAATTACATGTTGAAAGCCGTTATGTTGAGAGTAGGCTCGTGAAAATATTCGAATGCTTTGAATATTGAACAAATATTACAGTATTCTAACTCACTTCAATTCGAACCTATATTATTAAAAATTTCGAAGAATTTAAAATGAACAAAATAGATGTACTCGTATATCAGTCCGCATGTAAAAGTCATCAACCCTCTGTAAAGGTGGTTTTACTGCATTGAAGGAATGCTAAGCCGTGAAAGCATGTATCCAGGTTTGTAATAGATCGTATGCGACCCTCTGCAAAGGTGATGAGGTGGAAATATAAGGGCTCATTTTCTTTGTTAGAAGAAATATTATTATTGAGAACTAATCTTTCGTTTGTATATGTATGTGTGTCTATATGTGTGTTTGTTGATTATTACTTATTAATATCGCTTTAAAGTCTCAAAAAAGAGCCCTTTCTTTCATTCATAGTGAGGGTCTCGACCTGAGGTGGTGTGCGAGAGATTATTGGTCAGCCGCCACCTCATAGTAAGATCACACACTGCGTGATCTTATTACAAGACGGCAGATCTTATTACTCACTGCAATAGCAACAGGTGGCACTGACTGACGCTCCCCTATTTAAATGCACATATATACCCTATAACGTGGACAGGGTGATGACTGCCACCGTAGCTCAGCAGTAGAGCATCCGATGCATTATTCGAAGGTCGCAGGTAAGATCCTGCCGGTGGCGAGTTATCTTTTCGTCCACTTTTCTCTCTTTCTTCACATATGCATTCAAATTACATCTAATAACATCCTATGTACTTTCCCTGGCATTATTGTCTGTTAGTTCTCATTAATATTCTGGCAAAAAAAAAATTAGCCCATAAAGTTATACTTTCCTTCACTTATGGGTACTATTATGTCACAAGTTTCACAAAAATTGATTCACGCGATAATGTCACCATAAACTCAATGCAAGATTCAATGCATACGTAGTATAAGCCTCTAAAAGGTGGCATTTTTATAGTAGCAGTGAATTTACGTTGCATACATGTAGAAATTCCGGCCCCAATCTTCTTTTACAATAATGTGCACTATTCCTTCACATTGACCAAGTAGTGAAATTCTTCAAGAAATCGTCAGCTTGTGTGCCTCTACAGTAAGCCTTTATTATAACAAAGTGACAGAGACAGGAAACTGTAGTACTCATTATAAGCAGTATTTTTTTAGACCCGGAGGAAGTAAGACTGGGCCGCACATGTACACAGTAACATCTTTACATTTCAGCAGTGAGCTCGTGTAACGTAGGATACAAAAACAAAACCTCCCTAAATAGTTATGACATTAGAATGGCAACTGAAAACTTTATGATCGTGAACAGTTGCGCCATTCGTCGGCTTTAATCCAGGGTTACAGTTGCTTCTTAGGCGCCGTTGCCATGTGTCAGATAGGCAACCTCCATCTCCCGAATTCACAGCAAGCAGAGCCCAGTGCTACTACACTTGAAATTGTGCAGTGCATAAAGTTCTAGCACTGAGGTAAGGACCACAAGTAGTAACAATCTGCAGTGCAAATAGCCTAGACCTAGTCAACATTGACCCCAGAAAAGACAGTCCATATTATTTGTGGTCTATAACATCAGCGCTACAAATTGTCATGGATGCCCAACCAACAGGCCCAAACAGTTACAATTCCGAGGAACACAAAAATCTTCAACAAAGGCAATGTTTTTGTATAATAAGGGTTTGCTGTAAATAAAAGGTTGGACATAATAAAGGTGCTTTCGTGCCAGATGACAACCCCTAATACAGGGTTCAACTAGGGTTACGTTCTTAGAATGACAGAGAGCTTTACTATTTGGTAGGTACCGTATTTGCTCCCATAAATACGGTACGGCACCCGTTGGCTCTCTTCCGGCAAAAACGTAAGAGAGCCAATGGGCGAAGAGGCGCCACATGTCGGTTAGCGGTACTGCAGTGGATAAATTTAGGGGGTGAGTTTAATACGCGGAGGGGGAAAATCCAAATTTTGATGACTGTAGTTGGGGGTGTGTTTATTATGCAAGTGCTTTCATTACGTGAGTAAATTTGGCATTCACGTTAAAAGACTGAGCATGCAAACACAGACACAAGAGAGAACCGTAGTGTTCTCATGACTTTTCCCCTTTTGTGTGTGTTTGAACGTCCAGTCTTTAAACACGACTAAGTCCTCACTAGACACAGCAGCGATGACAAACGCACAAATCTTACTTGGCTCTCATAAAACTCCTGCAGTTCTTGAGTCGTAGTGATGGCTGACGTCAGGTTGCTTGAGCCAAACTCCCTCAAATCCGGATGAACCTTACCGGTTGCACCGAGTCTCACAAAGGGCACGCCGAGCGCCTTCAGCTTCAGCAAAACACTGTCCACACCGCTATGTGTATAGCTTGTCAACAGGACACGCTTTTTGAGAAGCACCAGTGTTTGAACCAAGGCGGCAATGGTAGTGGTTTTGCCTGAAACAAACACAAAGTCGCAAAGGGCGGTACATCAATCGTCAACTACATAAGGGCTAACCAGCGAAACATTTTTCGCAACTTGTCGTGGCAAATATGCAGCATCTAACGAATATTTGTAAGCGAACCGAGGAAAAGTTGAGGACTTAACGGGGCAAATGTTCACTGTGGCCTCCACTTGACTGTACAAGGGGCCCTGCAAGACTTCTCCAAGTAATCACTGAATGGTTTCATTAAAGGAGTTGGTTGCATCATGAATTGCAAAGTTTTTAGAGTCCATCAAGTACAAGCAGAGTTGCGATAATTTGTCCCACCCTTCAAGCCCTTTTTCCCTTCTTTCGTGCCAGCTAGCAACTGACAGCTACATAGGGGAGGAGGGATGACAAGGGGCAAGAGGCTACCTCCATCGGTCAGCGCTTGTCCTGACCTTGAACACTTTCTCTTTAACTCACGGCTCACTTTCAGTGCGATTGTGAGCCCACTGACAGTAAGTTGTGCTTTCGTATTTCTTTCCTTCATCCGTGCGTTTAAATATTGCTAGAACCACTCGACACGTCGGTTCGATTTCATACTGTGTGTAATTCCAGCACTATAGAGTGCAGCATGGGCATGCCACGACGTTGCGCAGTGGTCTAACTATAGCGGCTGAAGCTCACCATTTTTTATCAGCTAATGACTGTTGACTTCGTGTCTGTGACGCGTCCATGTCAGATTACGACATCATTGGTCATGAAAAGAGCGAGCAATTTCTAGCTTGCTTTAAAGATTAATTGTAAATTTCAGGCTGCATGCAGCGCTATATAATATTTGGCTCACATGCTCTCAAGAGCCTCGTCTACCATCTGCAGCGTCTTCTGAACATGTTGAAAAAGTGTTTCAGGGCACTTTCAGAAATTAAGCATGCTATGTGCATACAAATACATGCACTTATTGATCATGCAAAACCATTGCTAGATAGCTGATTTGTTAAATAAAGCCAAATGGCTCTTAAAAGAGCACATTATTTGTCCTTACAGCTTTTGACAATTACATACTGCAGACCTACTATTTAAAACAGCTGCGGTTACAATCACCTTCCCAAGAATTACGAATGAAAACTAAAATTATGTTATAATTTAAGACCAGGCACCTGTTCCCGGCATTCCCTTGAAGAGGATGTAGTCGTCACTCGACAGAAACTTGAGAATGGCTCGGCGCTGAAAATGGTTCAGGGGCTTGAGCACAGCGTGGCATGAAACGGCAATCTCTTTGGGCAAGGTCTTGCGGTAGAAAGGCGCAGATAGGTCGACGACCAGCGACCTCAGCCTGTTGGACTCGGGCTCGGCACTCATGAGCCTCGCCAAGTTGGAATAGCTGATGGTGAACGAAGCTGACGAGAACACTTTGTCGATACGGAATGTCTTTTTCTGCCACTCTTGGCTAGAATGCATGTTCCTATAGGGAATGAGAGAAGTGTTTCACATGACACAAGCATTTTAGTTTACACAGACCGGTTGTGTATATATACACCTAAAAACGCTCCCTTGCATGAAGATATTCACGGCTTTAACGTGACAGCAAGAAAGCAGTATAACAAAAATAACTCTCTACATTAACACATCTAGTGCTGCTGTTTAAGCTTATTACTTACTAGATTCGCAGACATTAGACAGTTTTAAAAAATGATTCATGCAACAACGGTACAATCTGTTTTTAGGAGAATCTGAACCATGCCAAAAAACAGAATGTTAAGAGTTTTTCTTCCAAACCACTGGATCGTAAATTTTAAGATAAGAGCCCTAAATGCCTCTTTAATGGGTCCGACAACTGGCCAAAATGTGCGATTAGATTCTAGTAGAAATGAAAAGATCATGAAATATAGTGACAGATTCTAGCATTCAAATCGAGGTGTGACTAGAATTCATATTTTTAAAGTGCGCTTGAAAGTAACAAAAACCAATATGTCATGAAGCCTAGCGGAACAGTTTTGAAGCTGTATTATAGAATACAAAGTCGATCGACTCGCTGTACATGGACGCGTAGTTTGATGCTGTCATGCGTGCCAGTCCCCAAAATTAGAGTAGTATGTGGATCATTGTCCACCCCTACTCAATTCCGTGCGGCTCACAATGTAAAAGCAGTTGCACAGTGTGGCGACACTGCCGCTGCAGTTGCCAGTGAACCAAGTCAAGCCGTGTCGCATGCACGCCGAGTGCATGCATGCGCAGTAAACCACCGCACTCAAACAGAAACCGCTCTCGCGCTTACTGTTTGCAACATTTGAGTAAACGACTTCATTTTTACTGCAGATAGAAAAATTACAACTACAATAGTTTAGTGGCGTTTTCCACTTAATCGTTTCATGATTAGACTCACTGATTGTTCAGGTTTTTCGTTGCACTAAAAGTATAGGCACCATAAAAATCGATTATTCGTCTCTTTAATAGACGCCGGATCTCTAGACATTACAAAAAGTGCACTTGAGGTGGCAGAAATAGGCAGACAAAGCAGCAATTTGGGCTTAAAAGTTTGTAAATATAAACTAAATAAATTTTGACACAAATGCAATTAACTTCAAAACAAAGCATAACCTGTATCTGCAACAGGAAAGCAAGAAACATTATTTGCTTATAATGACACAGAAGTACCAACAGTTTAATTTAGCCACGCAATCGTCCTTTTTTTCCGCATGATTACAAACACTGTTTTTCTTTTTATTCTGTAGCATGGCGAGTCAAGCGTCCACTGCTGAATCAACGCACTACTGGGTCTCTTTATTCGGCGTGGCTCAAAAGGGCACAGCTGGAGCAGAGATCAAGACCATCAAAAAACCAAATGCCCCGTATTGGCAGGGTCAAATCCTGTAGGGACAATTTCTCCCTTATCGGTGAACACCTTTAAAAAATAAATTGCAGACATAACAGAAGCCATGTGCACACCACATTTTTCTTTTTTCCTCTGCTCCATGTGGTTCCACATTCATCAATCATTTGTGCCAAGTCAGCGTGGTGGCATATTGCCACTCACACGTAGTGGGCCGACTGCAAGAGCGGCTCTTAATCTGGAGGATAAAAGAAGATCGTGTGTTTCTTCTCTGCTCGAGAGCCAGCCACGACTGATGCATCGTCCTAGAGCTAGCTACTCGGTGGTTTAATAAACCCCCAGTACTTGTGATTCATCGTGACAAACTGGTGGAAGTGCTGGGTAGTCTCACGGATGCTGTAGACTCCCCCCCCCCCCCCCCCCCCGGGGAGTCGTAATACGAGTCCAGTGCCAGTCAATACTCCCGTGCATCGGACCAGCCATCAAATCAGGGGATTGCCTCCGGAAGTCAACGATACTCTCCCACCACGTCGACAAACGTGACCATCGCTTCGGTGCAAACCTCGCCAACTGGCACGGCAAGCACGACGTCGAACCGCTATACGTTGGAAAGCCCACGGGCACCGGCGACGTTCCATGGTACAGAGCGCGAGAACGTTGAGGACTGGTTGGCGGACATCGAGCGCATAGCCACCTTGAATCAGTGGGACGACGCGGCGAAACTGGGTTGTGTCTATTTCTATCTCGAAGACGCGGCACGTACGTGGTATCAAAATCGAGAGGAGCAGCTGACGACCTGGCCCGAATTCTCTCATAGACTTCTGCAGAACTATGCCAGCACTGATCGTCAAAAAAAGAGCTGAACGACCTATTCTGGCCCGCTTCCAGTCGCCAAACGAAACTGTGACCACTTACGTCGAAGACATGACGCGCCTCTTCCGACGGGCCGATTCAAGAATGGCGGAGGACAAGAAGTTGCGTCACTTGATGCGCAGTGTCAAGGACCAGCTTTTTGCCAGCCTTGTCCGAAGCTTTCCGAAGACGGCCGCGGAGTTCTTGTCCGAAGCGGTGACAATGGAAAAAAATGCTGCAGTAGCGATCCAACTAATGCGACAGACAAGTCAGTGGCATGTCCACTGCTGACATTTTCACCGCCACTGGAACCAGAAATGACTGTCTACATGAACTTATCAGTAACATAGTACGCGAACAGTTGCAAAAGGCTGGTGTAACGCCACATCCTACGGTTAGCTCTATTGCAACTGTGATCAAGGATGAGCTGCACCAGGCCCTCCGGGACACCTTGCCTGCTGCGCCAGCTCCTGCTGAATACCACCGTGGGACAACCTACGCGGAAGTCTTGAAATGCCCTGCTGCATCGCCGCCATTGTTCGTTCATCCTGTGCCTGCAGTTTCACTCCAGTCAGCGCAGCCCATATCGTACTATGAAGGCACGTACACGCCACCGCCCTTGCTCTCTGTCCGTGGTGCTTCTGTGGCCCATCGTCCGGTGCAACCGGTCCAGTACATCGACGATTGGCCCACGTCTCCTCGGAAGTCTGATGTTTGGCGCACACCCGATCACCAGGCTCTATGCTTTCACTGCGGAGAAGCTGATCACTTGTACCGCCAGTGCCCATATCGCCGTCTTGGGCTTCGCGGCTTTTCTGCGTACTTGCCGCCATCCCGTTACGGCCAGAGACCACGCGACATCGAAAATCACCTCTCCCAGCAGCATGCACCACCGTCTGCCGGGCGCCAGTCGCGCTCGCCATCACCGTGGCGATTTTCATCAATGCCTCAGCGCTATTCTACTACACGATCTCCCAGCCCCCGCCAGGAAAACTAGGCGAAGCGACCTCTGGAGGCGGGGTCGCTGAACGTCGAAGCGCTAAAGACTTCCTATTGACGCAGAACCGTACAGAAACTGGCCTGACATCACTTGCTGCTGCGAAGGATAGCCGGCTTTCTCTCGAGGTAGCAGTGACAATTGATGGTTGTGCAGTCAATGCGTTAGTGGACACCGGCGCAGACTATTCCATACTGAGCAAGAAACTGACAACGCAGCTGAAGAAAGTAATCACGCCGTGGAATAACTCGCAGATTCGGACAGCTGGTGGCCTTGTCGTTACTCCACTGGGCGCCTGCACAACTAGAGTACAGATTCAAAGGTATACATTCGTGGCAAGCTGCCTTGTTCTACGTGAATGCTCCCGTCACGTCATTCTGGGAGTTGACTTTCTACAGGAAAATGGAGCTATGATTGATCTGCAAGAGCGCCGCGTCACATCCTCAGTCCAGCGAGCAATCAACGTGCAGGATGACGGAAGGCGTGTTGACGTACTCCGTATTTCTGAACAGAGCGTGATGCTTCCTCCACGATCAAGTGTTGTAGTCAACGTAACATGCTGTGGTTTGAGTGATGGCAATGTGGTGGCCGAGACAAATTTAGAACACCTCCTGCAACAAGGCATCTGTATAGCTAGAAGTGTAATGCACCTTTGTGATGGCCGATCTGAATTGCTCGTTACCAATTTTAGTTACGAGCATCAACACCTTTTCCGTGGCACTTCGATACGTTTGCCCATGAAGTAGCAAATGTCACCAACTGTCTCATGTCAGAGGTAGTGGATACCGCAAGACATGTCAATGAGTAATACTGACATCAATCCTGATCTGTCCACCGATAACCAGACTGCGCTGCGAGCACTCTTGTTCGAGTTCAGGTCCTGCTTCGCAAGTAGCTCAAATATCCGCCAGACGTCCATCACTTAACACAAGATCATCACATACGAGGACGCACGCCCGATACACCAGCACCCCTACCACGTGTCGGCTAAAGAATGTGAAGCGATACATATGCAAGTCCATGAGATCCTTAACGATGGCGTTATTGAACCATCCAACAGCCCGTGGTCATCTTCAGTCGTGCTTGTAAAAAAGGACGGGTCGCTACGCTTCTGCGTCGACTACCGAAAGCTTAACAACGTTACTAAAAGGATGTGTACCCGCTGCCACGTATTGATGATTCGCTGGATAGACTTCGTCATGCCCATTATTTCACTTCTCTTGATCTCAAAAGCGGGTACTGGCAAGTCGAGGTAGACCAGCCAGACCGCGAGAAGACAGCCTTCGTGACTCCAGACAGCCTATACTAATTTCGAGTACTTTTTTTCGGCCTGTGTTCAGTGCCGGCAACTTTCCAGCGAATGATGGACACTGTCCTCACAGGGCTCAAGTGGCAGACTTGTCTTGTCTATCTTGATGATGTGGTGGTCTTCTCTGCCACGTTCGAGCAGCACCTTCACCGCCTGTGCAGCGTGCTGGAGGCTATCCGATCGGCGGACCTCACACTGAAGTCACAGAAGAGCCACTTCCGCTATGAAGAACTAAAATTTCTTGGACATGTAGTTAGCACCGAAGGAGTCCGGCCCGATCTGGACAAGCTTGCCGCTGTTACCGAATTCCAGCTCCTGTAGATAAGAAAGCTGTCCGGCACTTTCTTAGTTTGCGCCCCTACTATCGCCGCTTCATTCCCGGCTTTTCTCAGATAGCAGAACCTCTGACTCGTCTCACAAGGGACGACACGCCGTTTGTCTGGGAAAATGAGCAACATGCAGCTTTTCATGAAC